CAACTTAGCCATAAGTTCGAGTACTCTCTGAACACATGATGGATACTCATACTGTGACACAGGCCTCTCAATAGCCGTCATTGTCGTCGATAGGATGATAGGATCCACCAGCCCAGCATCCCCTCCATCAGCCATCTGTGGTTGTCGAGCCGTGCCAGAGGTTTGGACTATATCCCCCAGCTGTTGGCGTAATACTAGTGGGGATTTACCAGGGTACAGCACTAGACACCCCAATACATCATCATCATTACCACCATCATCATGACGAGCGTCAATAGAATAACTCACTACACCCCGTAACATAGCAGCGAGGGCATCATCCAGCTCGGACGCCTGTACTACTGTATCTTGGCTACCACTATTCAAGTCGAGAAGAGCAATACCGAGTCGACTACCCTCCATACACACGGATAGGTACACACGACTCCTGATGTTAGAGGTCTCCTGCCGACCACCACCTTGGTGTCTACGCCTCTTACTCTTGTTGGCTCTAGGAGGCATATGAGATAACTATAGCATGACTAATCAGCTATTGGCAGGAACACAATATGATGATGGATGATAGTGTTGTACGGCTGATGATGACAATGATGAGTACTGATAGGCTTAATCCATGAACATTGTTGTATACTACAATGTCAGCTACTACAACTGTCAAAGCTTTATCCTAGACTCGGAGAGTGAACATGTCTGAAGGGGTCCACAATGCGGCAACCAGACCGATATCCTGATGGCGTGGTGAATGAGTTCGATAGAGAGGTGTCAATGTCTCTTGCTGTGACCTCATGAATGATGGCATCGAAGGCTATACTACAGGTGTCAACTGCTCGCGGAGTAGGACGCCATCCGGAGCCACCGCAGCCGAGGGGGCTAGACTGACGTTTGCGCTTTACTATCAGGTTAAAGATATCAATAACACTATTAGAATGGTCAACGTATGAGGTCAATCTTCTGGCAGTATCAGGTCCAAAAAGCATCGGAGGATACTCCTACTGCAAAGGACTTAGACGTAATGACAGAGGCTAGGAGTTGATACAACTAACTAGTGTACCATGGAGTGAAGAGGGCATGATGGATAATCATATTCCTCCAATTCTGGACCTAAGTATACTGGAGAAGTCGATTAAGTAGACCTCTAATACCCCACAGGGTGTGTAATCTCCTATGGGATTGGATGGTAGACCTATTCACACCGATGAGGATAGTGGCCCTGTAGATAAAGACGGCAAGGGGAGGGGCTGACGACCTACAACATGGCATGGACTCCCACCAACCCTACTCCTGCCATATATCCTCTTCCCCTACCCCCAACCTACAGCTGTCTATCGCATCCTACTTATGATAAACTGACACGATAGAATAGGATTCAGGATGGTAACACAATACGAGCTTACGGTTGAGTAAAAGTATCCCACCAACCCACTACTACTATACTGATGAGCTACAACAAGTATCATCATCCAGAAGCAGCAACAGACAGCAGAGTAGTAGCGGAACCCAGTAGTAGTGACTACCAGAATGTATATTATTGAATCGTATAATACTATCAGAGATTATTATCAATACTAATGCATATCTCATCAAGATATTGTAGCATTATTATTTGCCGAGTCCAGCATGGTTGATGGGGACTCAGTGAGACCTTCCTTTGCCTGACGGTATGTGATCAATAGCATCAGACACTTACCTAACCTACTCACCTGGTCCGGTCGTGGAACAGTAACTGTGGCACTGGTCTTGGGAGCCTTCCTAGCTGGCGATACAGTTGTTTCATCATCCCCTACCACCACGACATGTGACCTCTTGCTGTCCTCTTCGAATGCCTGATGATAGTGATGATAGATTGGATCATTACAATCTCCATACCACCTCTTCATGCGCCTTATGCTCGGCGTTATCATCCTCACCATCATGGTCCTCCACCTCACCTTTCTGCTGTTCCATGATTGATGCAGCTGTTGTTGCTGCTGCTGTTGCAGTAGCCCTCTCCCTCATAGCATCAGCCACAGCTGCTACCCATCTCTGATATGCCCGTAGCTGCTCATGGTATTGTAGCTCTGCCAATTGCCGTGCCTCTCTAGGAGTAAGGTTCCGTCTGATCTCCGAAGCACTAGGCTTCTCTACAGGGATGTCAGCAAGGAAGGGTTGGGCCGACGCTGGTAGGACGGTGGCTGACACGATATGTACAGTTGTAGATGACGTGAAGCTGTATGCCTGGTAGTACCTGGTGGGCTTGGGTTCAGTCCGAGAGCTTTGGCAGCATCATCCTCTGCCTCATTCCCTTGGTTACCATCCTTCCCGCTACTCCCTAATAAGGCTGCCGCTGCGGCTACAGCAGCTTCTGAATACCACGACCATCTACCCTCATATCATATGTCAACCCACTACTACCTTTCAGAGGCTGTTGCTCTTTAATGCTGGGTATTACAGCATTCTCAGCATCTGTCGAAGGGCCAACACTGCCATCCTCCACAGCAACAGCGTCATCATTGCCAGTACCACTCCCCGACGAACTTTCTACAACTACTGCAGCAGCAGCCAGAGCAGCAGCTTTCCGGCGGGTGATGACCCCCTCAGTATCCTTTGGTGGTACATCCTCCTTAGTGGTAGTGTCATGAACCTTTGATGGTGTTCGGCTATGAGACGACGTCTCTATGATGCAATCAGCCATCTAAGAGCAGCCCTTTGAAAAAGTATTCCTACACAAGTAGTATGATATCAGCTATACCCTAATACATCACAACACATGTGGTAATCCATCATACCATCTTGACTCAACCCAACAATAGCCTATATCATTCAGAAAAGTGATAATCATGATGATGATGGTGCCTAGATGGCGGCAGTAGGTCTCCTTACATCAGACGCAGCTACAATGATACCATCCTCATCAGAATAAAGCCAGTGCCCAGGAGTGAAGACAACACCGCCAAACTTTACAGGTATCTAGAGTAGACTCTTCGACACCAGAATAAGATGAGGTCCCCTCTCACATCGACATCCCCTATATCCTTCTTCTCTGTCTTCCTTGGATGGGTGCCTAACGCCTTCACACCAATATCCATCTTATTAACAGCAGCAGAGTCCCTTATATAACCATACACTACAATACCTGTAGGAGGCACATCGAGAGGGAAGGTAGGTAGCATGCCTTCATGTACCTGCCCAACTATTCTTAACTGCAGATGCTGCTATAAGGTCTCCTACTACGGCTCTACGA